CTTCCTTCCTTCCCTCCTTCCTTCTTTTCTTCCTTCCTTCCTTCTTTCCTACTTCCTTCCTTCCCTCCTTCCTTCCTTCCTTCCTTCCTTCTTTCCTTCCTTCCTTCCCTTCCTCCATCCTTCCTTTCCCTGTCTTCCCCTCCCTCCTCCTTCCTTCCTTCCTTCCTTTCTTCCTTCCTTCCTTCCTTCCTTCCTTCCTTCCTTCCTTCCTTCCTTCCTTCCTCTCTGTCTCCCTCCCTCCCTTTAAGGACCCTTACACCTCTATATGATCCTAGGAGACTAGGTAACAACAGGTTAACAGGGTGAGAGCCTTGCTTAGAGCCCCCACGCTCTCTGTGACCCATTCCGCCACCTTGTGGTGGAAACCTGGAAATGCTGGTGCATGGATTAGATGAGGTCATTCCCAAGACCGTTCTGGGAGCCGTGGCCACTTTCTGAGGCTGAGCTAGGATGGAGATATTGGGCAATCTTCCCTGGGCAGCTCCTTTTTCGGTTAATGATTCATCCGTCCCCACATACGTCACTCTAGGTTACTCTGGCAAGGGAAATACTACCCCCTTGCAGGGTCATGGGGTTTATCTGTGGAAGACTGAAATGTTGACTTACTCATCTTTTTTGAGAGATGGCGCAAAGTGCAACGTCAAGAGAACTGAGCCCACAGCTGGGAAGACCTGGGTTTGAGTCCCTCTCTGACCCACCCAATGGCTGGGTGACCCTGAGCTGGTCAGCGCCCCCAGGCAGCTGAGGAGATCTCACAGTCCTGGAGCAGGTGCTAATGTTCTTTGGTTGGAGAATGTCTGTGCTTGGAGCTACAGATATTGACACAGTCATGGTCCCTGTCAAAAAACAAGTAAAAGCCAATGTGTGCCCTTCAGCCACAGCGTAGGCATGAGCTTGATAATATTAAGAATAACGATCATGCATGTAGACTTTCAAGGTTTTCCAAGAATTTTACTTGATCCTCACAGTAACCCTGTGAGGTGAGTGTTGCAATTGTATTTCAACCGCATGGAAACTGAGGCTCACACAGCAAAGCTAGTTAGCATCTGAGGTGGGATTGTGGACTTAGATCTTCCCAACTCCAAGGCCAGTGTTCAATCTGCTACTCCAAGCTGCCTCTCAGTGGAAGCATTCAAGGTGCTCAACTGAGCCCATATGCTTGGTAGCTCAATAACTCACATTAAACTGGTTTTTAAATTATAGGATGGGGGGCATTCTGGGGTGGTGAACAGAGAGCCACACTTGTAGTCTGCAAGATCTGGGTTCAAGTCTTACCTCAGACACATAGTGGTTGTGTGACCCTGGCCATTTCACTTAACTACCCAGTGCCCTAGGCAAGACTCTTTCCACCATGAACTGAAGATCAGATGCCACCTGCATTGGTAGTGGGAGTTTTCTCATCTGAAAATTCCTTTTACCATTGAAACCATAATTCCAGGGCCTGTCCTATGCATCGGTTGCTCTTAGAATCCCCAGTTTTCTTCAAAGCTCGGCTTAAGCACTGTCTCCTCCATGAGGTCTTTCCTGATCCCCCTCAGTGCCACACCCCCAAGCCTCTTATTATTTTTGTGCATATTTATATGTGCCCATAGTATCACCCTCAATAGCACGTACACTCCTTCAGGGCAGGGGCTATTTCTTTTGTGTTTCTGTATCCGTAATACTTAGCCCTGTATGGCACACAGTAGGTACTTAAAGAATACATGTACATTGATTGCCCATAGTAAGCATTTACTGTATTGACTATCTGTTAATCAGGCAGTTTCCTGAGTCTGGAGGGAAGTTTTCACAGAATTGAGGTGGTATCAGGGTGGGGGAATTGGGAGTGAAAGTCTAAGGCTGGCCACCTTCGGAATTCGGTCACTTTAACACATGTAGCTTCTTTTTGTACAGCTTCCTCATCTATAAAAATGAATGGCTTAAGCTGGGTTCTCTCTAAGGTCATTTCCAAACGTGTCCTGTGGTTCTTCATAATCAGGTTTTCCCAGAGACGTCCCCAGAGGCTGTGCACTCATTGTCCCGGAATATTCAAAAATAGAATTTGCTGGTGTCTCCTTGTTGCTAAAAATAAGCACACAAGAAAATAACCCTACACCATAGAAAAGGAAATTGAGGCTGGTCACATGTCTTGTGCGTGGTGTGGTGTGGTGTGTTTCATACCAAGAGAACAGGGGCTCCTTGGAAAATGTTCAAGCCAGTGATTTCCTTCCCTCTGAAATCTTTAATATGAAATTAAAATAGAAGAATGTTCTTTATTAACAGATTTTTCATATGAAAATGGACTTGATTTTTTTTCTCTTTTGCTCCCAAATTTCATCTTTGGAAACTTCATGTTATTTCTTTAGAGTTGGAATAATGATACAGATGAAGAAACTGAGGATCAAAGTGGGGAAGTGATTGTCCCTAGACTTTCTAGGTCCCTTCCATCCTACACTATCTAGTAGCACCCTCCTAGGAGCATTTTGGTGCCTGTTTAATCTTGGCCTGACTTCATGAAGGAGAGTGCAGCTACCTTTTCCTCTAGCAGTGAAAAGGATGAAAGGCGGTGCCTGGGAGCCAGCGTGCAGCCACAGTGACTGGTGAACCAAAATGGTGCCTCTTTTGGTCCTAGGGAAATGGGAAAGATGGCAGCAAAGGGGATGGGCAGCATTTCCCCTCGAGTTTCCGTCCTCCATAGTTCAGCCTCTTGCCTAATTTTAAGAAGAGAAAATTACATGAATAAATTGTAGTAGCTGGGCTCTGTGAGATTCCTGGTGACAACAAGAGCTGAGGAGAATAGTTTAGACACACCTATGTCCTTGCAGACTTTATAACCTGATTAGGCAGCTAGGTGGTGTCATGGATGGAGTGCAGAGCTTGGTCAGGAAGTCTTGAGTTCAAATCTTAACTCAGGCAACAACTGTATGCCCCTAGGCAAGTGTTATTTAACTCGGTTCCTCCTCTGTAAAATGGAGGTAATAATAGAACCTACCTTATAGGGTTGTTGTGAGGATCAAGTGAGATAACATTTGTAAAGTGCTTGGTGAATCTTAAAGAGCTATAGCTACACTATTGGTGCCTGGGTCTGGGCCAGATAGCAGTTTTCTTGTTCAGTGTTTTTCAGTTGTGTCTGACTCTTCATGACCCGTTTGGGGTTTTCTCGGCAGAGATACTGCAGTCATTTGCCATTTCCATCTCCAGCTCATTTGATAGGTGAGAAAACTGAGGCAAACAGGGTGAAGTGACTTGCCCAGGGTCACATAGCTAGTAAGTAACTGAGGCTGGATTTGAACTCGGGTCTTCCTGACTCCAGGCCCAGCACTCTATCCACTGTCCCACCTAGCTGACCCAAAAGAGTGATAATAACAGCTAATTTTTATAGATTTAAAGGTTTGCAAAATACTTTACAAATATTATCTCACTACCACAACCCTGGGAGGTAGATCTTATTATTATTCTCACTTTACAGATAAAGAAACTGAGGCTGAAAGAGGTTAAATAACTTTCTAGTAAGTGTCTGAGGCGGGATTTGAGTTCAGGTCTTCCTGACTCAGACGCCAGCACCGTACCCACTTTGTCCCCTGTCGCTCTACTCTTCTGCGGTCCGATCAAACCTGGGAAACGCTGTTCAGTTTGGAGCAGGGGGGCTACATTTTAGGCAGAACATTGAAAGGCTAGAGAAAGGTTTGCTCATGCAGAGGAGGCCAACGGGCTGGAGATGGGCCCTATGTCCGTGCCAGAGGAGGAGCATTTGAAGGAACGTGGAGAAGAAAAGGCTCAGGGGAGACATAAGGGCTGTCTACAAGTATTTAAGGGCACCATGGATCCAGAGCTGGAAGGCCATCTCGTCTACCTCCTCCCATTTCACATATGAGGAAACTGAGGCTCAGGTAGATGGAGTGATTTCCCAAGATCACATAAGCAATAGAACTAAAGGCAGGATTTGAACCCAGATCCTCCAGCTTCCAAGTCATTCGTTCCCTGCTGCCTAGATGGATCTTGCCTATAGAAGGCATTCACTAAAAGTGGGATGAATGAATGATTAGTTTAAAGATGCAAAGGTCGGAATCCCTCCCTTTACCCCCAGTCGTCACTCACTCGGATCTGCCAACCATCATGGAATCTCAGCGCTGGAAGGACCACAGAGAACATCTACCCCTACAACCTCCACAAGTTAGTGAGTCAACATACATATCTTGCCTGCTTACTGTGTGCCAAGGATTGTGCTGAGCACTTGGGATACACAGAAAAGTCAAAACCAATCTTGTTCTCAAGGAGTTTAGATTCTAACAATATGCATTCATTAAGAACCTTCTATGTGCCAGTCAAGTCAATATGCATTTATTAAGTGCTTACTGCATAGGCCAGGCACTGTGCTAAGTCCTGGGAATACAAAGGAGCTCAACTAGTTCTCACTAGAATGAAGACATTAGGGACAGGTTAAGAGGAGGGGGCAGCCGATTCCATCATTTCATTTTAGGAATTTTGGGGACCTTGTTTTGCCCTCAAGCCTTCACTTCCAGCCTTCCATGAATCAGGGGAGACATGACTTCCTGGCCTGCTAAGCCCCCTCTTCTCTAGCCCTCTCAGTCTGTTCCAGGTGGAATAGAAAGGGTAAGGGAGCGTCCCAGACACCACAGAGCTCTTAGGAAAATGGTATTGACTCTGGTGGCTACAAAGCTCAGCCTCATCTGGAGAAGTCGATTTCTCTGAGTGAAGGCGAGCTCCTTGGGCCCGTGAGGCAATAAATGGTGAGCGATTGAGCAGACATTGATTGTTTGATCGTCCCTGGAAGTTTATTGTAAGTGAATCTGCAGTCCGTGTTCTGGGGCCTTCCCGGAATCTGGGCTATAATTGGAAAGCAGAGCGGCATATAGAAAAGCAATCATTCTGCCTTGCTGCCAGGAGAAAATAGCAGGTTTGATATTTATATTCTGACAGTTCTGCTGGTTGGAGCCCTCGTGGACGGGGAGGATGCTTGCACTGGCATGAGGGTAGCTGCTGGGGTGTTGCGGTGGACGGATGCTTGGGACCAGAGATCCAGAAAAGCAAAGCCTCGTGGGCCGAGGTAGGTGAGGCTTCAGCAGGTCAGAGCACAAGAGCTTGGATCTGAAGGTGGAGGGGGCTGCTGAAGTCATCCCGTCCAACCCCACGATTTTACAGAAAGAGAAACTGAGGCCCAGAGGGGAGAGCTGACTTACCTGGGGTCTCTCTAGATGCCATCTGAATCCTTTCCTTAATATTGTTGTTGTTAGTGCCAGAGAGCTGTGTTCAAATGTAGGCTTGAACCCTAGAAGCAACAGACTTTTTTCCCCCATCAAAATCATGGACTTCCTTCCCCTTGACCTGGATTCAAGCCTTGATTCTGGGGCATGAGAGCCCTGTGACTTCAGCCAAATTACATCATCTCTCTGGCCAGATGGAGGTTTGGATTAGATGACCTCCAGGGTACCTTTCAATTCTAAGTCCTCCCCTTTGATCCTTCCCATTTTCACTATCTAGGAATAAGATCGAAATGTACTTGGTGGGGGTGTGTTCATGAGCAGAAGAACCAGAAATTCTCCTTTTTGTGAGGCTGTTAGTTTTCTTTCGTTCACCCATCCATCTAGCCATCTGTCCATTCATCTGTATGCCACCTGTCCCTCCATTCATCCGTGTGTCCCTCTATCCGTCCATGCATCATCCATCCATTTATTTATTTTGTGGTGGTATCACTGTTTTGTTGATACATTTTATCTTGAAACAAAATACATACTCCAGCAAATTCATAGCTAAGCACTAGCACATCCCCACCTGTGTCCCTCACCTCATAAGGCTTTCTGACTGACAATGAATGGTAAAGCATTTAAAATCCTTACTATGTGCCAGCCACTATGCTAAGTTCTGGGTTTACAGATGCTAACGGGAGATAGCTCTGGCCCAAAAGGGACTGACATTCTAACAGAGTGGTGCCTTTTGTGGAGGCATTTGATCTGGGGAGTCCTAGAGATAATGAGTGAAGCCACGTGACAGATGGATGTCACTTTCCAGAAACAAAGGTAGCATCGGTTTCATTACTAGCACCTTTTTGTCTTTACATCCCCAGAACTTGGCACAGTTCCTGGCACATAGGAAGTGCTTAGAATTCTACTCATTGACTCCTGTTGGCAAGAGGTTGAAATGAGGGTAGTGGTGGTTAGTTATTCAGTCTGTTAGTCAATAAGCATTTATTAAGCACCTAGTCAGTCAGTCAATAAGCGTTATTAATGACCTACTATATGCCAGGCTAAGTGCTGGGGATACAAAGAAAGGCAAAAGACAATCCTGCCCAGGAGGCCCTCACAACGTAGTGGGGAGACAGCATTCAAACAGCTATGTACAGACAAGCAGGACTCATGCTTTAAGGAGGGTTTAGCATAGTCTAGATGACTTCCTGAGGATTCATTTAAGTTTCTCATTCTATGAAACAAAATTCAGTCTAATCATCCCCTCTTTAGCTGTGTCTGATCTCTGCAGAGCTCTGTACTAGGTGTCATCAGGGAGAAAAGAAGGTTTGAGAAACGTGGCTGTCTTCTAGGGACAGAAACTCGGTTGTTTGGCCTCTCCATTAATGCTCCATTGAATGACGATAGCCTGGAGCGCGGGGCACTTGTTGCTGGCTTCACTGCCGGCACACACCTGCCTGCCCTTCCCTGCAGGTGCATCGGGCTTGGATTATAATCTTACTTTCACACAATAGGATGTAATTTGGCCAAAGTCACGGGCTCTCCTGCCCCAGAATCAAGGCTTGAATCCGGGTCAAGGGGAAGGGAAGTCCATGATTTTGAAGGGGGAAAAAAGTCTGTTGCTTCACAGGGTTCAAGCCCACATTTGAACACAGCTCTCTGGCACTAACAACAACAATATTAAGGAAAGGATTCAGATGGCATCTAGAGAGACCCCAGGTAAGTCAGTTCTCCCCTCTGGGCCTCAGTTTCTCTTTCTGTAAAATCATGATGACTTCCTGGGCCCAGGAGTGATTCAGTGTCCATATAGGTCTTACAGATATAGAAGGGACCTTACTGGACACCCTCAATGTACAGATGATAGAACTGGGGGCCAGAGAGGTGGAGTGATTTGCTCCAAGTCACTCGGCTTGCAAGCATCTGAGTTGAGATTTGAACGTTAGTCCTACACTCTACCCACTACTTGCCCAGCTTCTTAGCCCTTAGCTGTCCTTCAGTGACAGCCTCCTGGGCTGGCCCTTACTCGCTTGGGGGAACCTGCTGGCTAGGGTCCTTTCAAGAGCCCAGGGCTATCTCTAGCCCCTGGTGAAGCCCATGGAGGAATGGCAGAGGGAGTTTTGTTGCCTCCAGGTAGGACTATGGGAAAATGCCAGCTCAGTTTGTAGTAGCTTACGCTTTCCCTAGAATATTCCTACCCCATATTGGCCACTGAGCCCCACTGACTTACCTTTGTTTACCCTCATTTTTCTGCTGACTTGGTATACCGTTATTAATCTTTTAACTTTGTACCACCCTTATTTGATTTTTTGTTTTGTCAAAAGATTATTAAAATGTTCAGCCCTGGGCTGTCCAGATACAATCGTGATGTTTGGTGTCTGTGTCTGAATGTCTCTTGATTAAACAAGTATTACTGGAGGCAGCCTGGCATAATGGCTGGAAAGTTTGCCTTAGAATCTGTAAGAGCTGGGTTCAAGTCCTTCCATTGGCTTTGTGACTCTAGGTATGTCACTCAACTTCTCAGTGTCGGTGCTGACTTGCATTGATGGAGGGATTTCCTCATCCTGAAGTTACCTACCCCAATGAGATGTTAGGTCCAGTTCCCATCTGTCAGCAAGTACTGAGTCTATTTTTGGACAGCATTAATACTTAAAGAAATCCTTCCTTGCCTGGAGTTATTCAGGAAATTTCTTCCTTCTATTCCTTCTTAGTCGCTTCCACCAAGTTATGTCCAGGGGGAGATCTCTTCTCTAGCTACAAAGCATGACCACCCATGAAATATTAGAGTTGGAAGGGGCCACAGCGTTCATCTAGTTCAACTTCTTCATTTTACAGAGGAGGGAAATGAGAACCAGAGAGGGGAAGGTACTAGCCCCAAGTAGCACAGCTCATTAGAAACTAGACCTCAGGTCCAGCCTGCCAGTTGAATTCTCTGTCTATTGTACCAAACTGATTTGGACTATTGTGTTGTGTGTAGCGATCTTTTTTTTTCTTTTCCGTTTCCATGTGGGATATTTTTGTACTATTTTTTGCTATCGTCTTCACTGCTTTTTTGGGGAACTCTTCCTTTAGTTCTTCCCCTTACAGATGCTTGATAGAGTGGTGTGTATGCAGTGGTGCTTGCTAAATGATATTACCTGAGTAAGGCCCCCATGACATAGATCCCTCACGTCTGCCCTGTAGCCCCTTTGCTGTAATTGCTGGTGATTTCCTTATGGACCCCCTCCAGTCTCTTATTTAGATAGTCCTGCCATCTGCCTTGGGCTGTTTAGTGTAAACAAAACTATTGAACCATTTTAGGGTGTGGGAGTGTGTGCGGTGGGCCACACCTTCACACCTTCCTTTCCTTGGATTGTGTGATTTCCTCTGGGGTATATATGGTCCAGTGGGTAGGGATCAGCTCTCCTCTCCCAGCCCTCCCCCTCCCTTTCATTTCCTGAAAGTGATCTCTCTCCACCTTAAATTTCTTTGAAATGTCAGCCATTATTTCTTTTTTTAAGTTTTATTGATGTTTTGTTTTTACATTATAAGCAAAGATTACCTTTGCTTCTCATGTAACAAAGTATAGCAATTGAGTAAAACTAATAATGCAGTGAGCTCATCTGAAAGTAAATGCAACAGTCCACATCTGTAGCCACCCCTTCTATTTTTTAAAATTGTTTTTTTAAATGAGCTGAAATCCATTTTCTCTCCTTCTCACCCTATTGAAAGAAAGAGAAAAGAAAAACAAATTCTTTGTAACAAATATGCACAGACAAAGCAAAACAAATTACCTCATTGAAGGAATGTGAAAATAAGTGTGTTTTGTTCTGCCCATGAACTCCATCAGCATGTTTCTTCATCATCGTCAGTTATCACCGGTCCTCTGAAATCATGGATGGTCCTCATTCTTACAGCTTTCAAACTTGTTCGTCTTTACATTGTTGTTATTGTATAAACTGTTCTCCTGCTTCTGCTGATTTTCATGCTTCACAGATTTGTAGGAGTCTTCAACACTGTTCATTCTTCATGGCTAATGTGGAAATGTTTTGCATGATTTCATATGTATAATGAGTATCGGATTTCTTGCCTTCTCAATGGGTAGTGGAGGGTTGGAGGAAGAGAATTTGGAACTCAAAATAAAGATAAAATTTAAAAATCCACAGAAAAATAAATAAAATGGGGATGATTCTAATAACTCTAGTACGTACCTCATTTAATTAGTGGTCATTTGGACCATTGTTTTCACATGACTATAGATAACCTGAGTTTCCTCCCTTGAGAACTGCCTGTTCATATCCTTAGGTCATTTATCCATTGGGGAATGGCTCCTTTTCTTGTAAGCTTGAATTAGTTCTTTATATATCTTAGACATGAGACCTTGCCACAATGGCAATTTCCCTAGTTAATTGTTTCCTTTTTTTTTTTTTGCTTTTTGCTAGGCAATTGGGGTTAAGTGACTTGCCCACAGGTCACACAGCTAGTATGTTGCGTGTTGTGTGTCTGAGACCACATTTGAACTCAGGTCCTCCTGACTTCAAGGCCGGAGCTCTATCCACTGCACCACCTACCTGCCCCCAAAAGCTTGTTTTCTCCTTCACACTATCTTTTTATTTTTTTTTAAGGCAATTGGGGTTAAGTGACTTTGCCCAGGGTCCCACAGCTAGTAAGTATCAAGTGTTTGGTCTGAGGTCACATTTGAACTCAGGTCCTCCTGACTTCAGGGCCGGTGCTCTGTCCACAGCGCCACCTAGCTGCCCCAATTGTTTCTCTTTCAATCTTAGCTTTAATGGATTTGTTTGTGGAAAAATTTGAGTTTCATATAATCAAATGATCTATCTTCAGTAAATCTCTCTACCTCTTGTTTGGTCATAAATTTTCCTTCTATCCACGGATCTGATTGGTAATTTTTTTCCCGATTTTTCTAATTTTGTTTATGATATACTTAGGTCATGTATGGACTTGGAGCTTATCTTGGTGTAGGTTAAATTTCTTCCATACGGCTGCCTGATTTTCCCGGGAGTTTTTGTCAATTAGTGAGTCTTTATTCCATTATCTGGGACGTTTGTGTTTACTAAATACTAGGCTACTAAATATATCTACTTCTATAAGTTGAGTACCTAATCGATTATACTGATCAACCTCTCTATTTGTTATCCAGTACAGAAGACTCATATTCCTAAGTTCATATCTGGCCTCAGACACTTACTAGCTGTGTGACTCTAAACGAGTCACTTATCCTCGTTTGCCTCAGTTTCCTCATCTGTAAAATGAGCAAGAGAAGGAAATGGCAAATCACTCCGGTATCTTTGCTAAGAAAACCCCAAATGGGGTCACCAAGAGTATGACATGGCAAAAACAAGTAAACAACAGCAACCTAACCGTTTAGAGAATTATTGCTCATGGTATAGTCGGAGACGCTGCTAAGCTCCCTTCATTCCGACTTTTCATTATTACCTATGAGCTTTTTTGACCTTTTTTGCGTCCGTGTAAATTTCATTATTTTTTAGTTTTGTAAAATAATCTTTTGGTAGTTTGGTATTACCTTGAATAAGTCAACTAATTTAGGCAATATTGTCATTTTATTTCATTGACTCACCCTACTTGGGAACAATTAATATTTTTCCTGTTATTTAGGTCTGTCTTTATTTCTGGAAACAATGCTTTGGAGTTATATGTGTATAGTTTTTATCTTGGTAGGCAGACTTAATGTATTTTATACATTGTATGGTTATTTTGAATGAGCTTTTCTTTCCGTCTTTTCCTGTTGGATATTATTGGTATTATGTAGAAATTCTGATGATTTGTGTGGATTTATTTTACATCCTGCAAGTTTGCTGAAGTTATTGTTTCAACTAATTTTTAGTTGAAGAGAGTTGTCATCTTACCCGGTGATCACCCCACCTCTTCTTTACTTAGTCTTCTTCTTCCCATTTCTTTCTCATGTTCTGTTGATGTCGCCAGTAGAATCTGGGTCAAATAGAAGTGAGGGCTGAGGAGCAGTGCATTCCTAGCCTTTGAGGCCAAGATTGGTTTTAGGAATTAGATTTTGGCTGGATTTTACATTGTTTGCTTTTGCATTGTTTGTATTCATTTCATTGCGATGTAGCCAACTGAGGGGCTGAAGTACTGGGCTTAAGCGTCAGGAAGACCTGGGCTCCAACCAATCTCCAGTCCTTATAAGATGAGTGACTCTGGGCAAGTCAGTGAACTTCTCTGGTTAATTGACTTGGCACCTTCCTAAATCACAGATTGAGAGCTAGAAGGGACCACAGAGGTCATCGGGTCCAACCCTCTCATTTTGTAGATGATGCCACAGCTAGGTGTCCAAGAGAGGACTTATCCACTGTCACAAGCAGTTACAAATGGCATCTGCGGAGAGCATTCTCACAACTGAAGTCCGTGTTGCTGAAATCACAGTTCCTTCAGTGGACAGAGCACTGGACCTGGAGTTAAGAAGTCCTGAGTTCAAATTTAGACTCGGACACTCATTAGCTGTGTGACTCTGGGCAAGTCGTTTAACCCTGTTTGCCTCAGTTTCCTCAACTGTAAAATGGGAATAATAACAGCACCTTCCTCCTAGGGTTGTTGTGAGCTCAAATGAGATAATGATTGTAAAGTGCTTAGCACAGTGCCCGGCACATAGTAGGCGCTTAATAAAGACTTATTCCCTTCTCTGCCTTACTGGAATATTGTAATCATCACACATTGTTGTTCTGGTTCTGCGTGGCTTCGCATCAGTTTGCATCAGTTTTCCCAGGCTTCTCTGTATTAGTTGTACCGGATTTATTCATATTCTGTAATGTGATTATTCTACCCTTGTCAATGGGCACCATTTTATTTCCAGATTTTTCTTTTTTTTGATAATGCTATAAATACTCCCATAATTTCTCATGCTCCTTGGTCTGAAGGACCTTAGCTCTGTGGGCTGAGCCCATCTGCCTCGTATGAGAGCCTTACTAGGGGCCTGATCTTCTTCAGGGCAGGGTCTATGCCACTTTTTTCCTCTTTTTATCTCCAGCCCCAAACACAGTGCCTTTCCTGGAGTGAGCTCTTAATGAATGTCTACACAGATGACTCAAAGTTTCTTTATATCCGAATCTCTAAATCCCCCTAGGTCAATCTGGTCTTGACATGGAATTGCTGAAGCAAAGAAGTTTTATTCTACACTCCCCAGATCCATCTTCCCTTCCCTTCTTTTCCTTCCATTAGATTGTAAGCTCCTTGAAAGCAGGGATGGTCTTTTGCTTCTTTCTGTATATCCAGTGCCTGGCACATAGTAGGCATTTCATGAATGTCTGACTGATTGATTGATTGATTCATAGCCCTAGGGTAGGACAGCTGATAAAAGCGTTTTACTTCACTGTTAATAGAGCTGAGTGATCTGGAGGCAGGGGCGTGAATTCTCAAGGAAGTGAGGAGGGGTCTTCTGGGGAGCTGTTTACAGACCACCCAGAGAAATGTTATTGACCAAATGGTGATGGATCCTTCACCTGCTCAGGATCCTTGCCTCCAGGACGCAAAAGCTCTGGCTCCATTTTGGAGATGAAACAAGACAATGATGGCTGCGTTGTCTCTACGCTCGACCAGGGACCTTCTTGGCCCCTCAAAGGCCACACCAGCCTTTTAGAATTCTTTACTTGCTGCCCACATGCTCTTTTGTTGGTGACTTTTTCTTAGTTATGGATCAGATGTCTTGTTTTCTTATCCGGATGGGAGGTACCCTTGCGCTCATTTCTTTCTTTCTTTCTCTGCTCAGATCAGCTTTTGAAGTGATTGAGAAAAGGTAAAGACAACACATTCCGCTGTCTGAGGAGGAGGGTAGCACACAGCCGAATAAATGCAGGTATGTTGATTTGCTTATTTCTATATGGATAATCATGATAATGATATTAGTAATATTTCTGTAGTCCCTTAAGGTTTGCAAAGCACTTTTCAGATGTCTTCTCATTTGACCCTCACATCAGCCCTGTGACATGGGTGCCATTATTAGCCCCATTTTACAGATGGGGAAATTGGTGCTGAGAGAGAAGTTAAATGACCTGCCCAGAGTCTCACAGCTAGGAAGTGTTTGAGCAGGATTTAAATTCAGATCTTCCTAACTCCAAGTCCAGATTTCTGTCAGCTAGTGGTCCAGTGCACAGAGTATTGGGCCTGGAGTCAGGAAAACCAGAGTTCAAATATGGCCTCTGACACTTACTAGCTATGTGGCCCAAGGTAAGTCAGCCTCAGTTTTCTCTCCTCAGTTTCTTCATCTGTAAAATGGGGCTATGGGGAGTTGGAGTAGTACAGTGGATAGAGCTAGTCTTGGAGTTTGGGAGACCTGGATTCAACCCCACTTCTAACATATCCAAGCCATATTACCCTGGGCAAGTCAATTCATTTCTCCAAGACTCAGTTTCTTCAACTGTAGAACTGTAAAGTTGTAATACTTCAAATGAGAGTGGTGCAGAAAAGAGAGTAGATCTTGGAGTCTGGATGACCTGGGTTCAAATCCTGCCTCTGACTCCTAATAGCTGTGTGACCTTGGGCAAGTCACTGAAGCTTCTCCAAGTAGCTCTCTGTCTGAGATTATAAAGTGCACAGTAGGTGCCCATATTACGCTATGCTAGGGACAGGGGAGGGGAAAGACTCAACACAGAAAAGTCAATACATCACGTAGACAACATGTTGCCCAGTAGTTTCCAGAAAGAGAAAGCTCCAAAGACTGGCAGAAAGGTCAGGAAAAGCCTTGCTTAAGCGCTTTTTCTTATCTGATTATATTTTTGGAGGAGGAAAGTTGACTTGTGCCCACCTCACCCTCTCAGGGACCTTCTTTGAAGGCATTACTGGGATTTTTCCAGCGGCCTCAGCAAAAATGAATCCTGGTGGTGGAGGGAAGCCCCCTGAACTGAGCATCTTGGCCTGGGCTCTCCCATGGGCATTAGCTGTTTCTTGGGGACCCCGTCTGGAAGCAAAAGAGTACCTCAAGAGGAAACCAAAGCAAAGGGGAAGGCAGGCCCCGGGCTTCTGGGACAAATGTACCTTGGGGGTTTTTTCTTCTCAGGGGCAGCAAACAGCAGCCAGGCCAGCGTAGGAGAGCTGAGCCTGCCTCAGCCTCCGGTCACGGGACTTACTGAGGAGGAGCAGGGAGGGAAGGGTCCCACGGTCAGAGGATTCAGGATTCAGGGCTAGTGGGGCCTAAGCACATATTAGATGCTGAACAAATGCCTTTGGTTGGAATTCACTCTTACTTGGGAGGCAGGGAGAGGACCCCAAGGCTTGCTCCACGGATTCCTTCTGGCTTGTCTTTCTGGAGCTATGAGCCTCTTATAACTTTATGTAATGTCCACTTCTCTTCCCAAATAGTATCTAAATTTCAAAGAGGACTGCAATGCCATGGCGTTTTGTGCAAAAATGAGGAGCTACAAGAATAATGAGGTCAATCTGGATGTGCTGGAGCCTGGGGTGGAGGTGGTGTTCTATCTGCCCGATAGGAAACCCCTCCACTTGCTCAGTGGGGACTATACCGTGGAAGACCTGTGCATCCGAGCCGCTCAGGAGTGCTGTGAGTATTCCCAGCCCACCCCCAACCTAGCTGCAAACTGGGGCACCTAGGCAGCACTGCAGCCCTGGGGCTGGAGTCCAGAAGACCTGAGTTTAAATCCAGTTTCAGATACGTACTAGCCGTGTCACTTAATCTCTGTGTACATAGAAGGAGGATGGTGTGAGAAGACTGAAAAGTTGGAAAGGCCCAGGAATGTGAAGGGCTTTAAAAGCCCAAGGATTTTCTATTTGATCTTGAAGGTGATAGGGAACCATTGGGATTTAGTGAATAGGGGGATGATGTGGTCAGAGCTGGACTTCAGGAAGACCACTCTGACAACAGAGTGGGCGATAGGCTAGAAGACCAAGCAGCAGGCTCTCCGGCATAAGGTTGTGAGGGCCCGCACCATGCAGGACACAGGGATGCTGTTAATTAGCAAAGTTCATTGTCTGTAAATATTCACAGAGTATTATTTGTTAGTCAAATGAGCGTAAACCTGGCTGTCTAATGGTTTCATTCTTCACACTCACTGTGTGGCATTCTAGTTGGATGCCTCAGTTTCTCTGTCTGTAAAATGCTGTAAATGTTAGGGTAATGAAGTCTACCACATATCAATTTCATGGGCATAGTAAAGTTCTTTTAAAATTATATATATTTTTTAATCAGTGAAAATCCACTTCCCTGAAAAACAGGGAAAAGAAAAAAAAGACAAAGAAAGAAAAACAAACCTGTTAACAAACACATATAATGAAGCAAAACAAATCCCCAAATTGGCTGTGTAAAAAAAAAAAAAGTCCCACTCTTCAGTCTGACTCCATGGCTTCTCTGGAAGGAGCTGAACAGCCTACTTTACCATGAATCCTTCAGAATTTTGGCCGGTCAGTGCGTTGATGAGAGGTCTTCAATCTTCAGAGCCGTTTGTCTTTACAATATTGCTGTCATTGGGTGAATTGTTCTGGTTCTGCTGACTTCTTTCTGCGTTAGTTCATCCAAGTGTTCCCCCACTGTCTCTTAAGCCGTCCGTTTGTGATTTCTTAAAGCACAGTAGTATTCCATTACATTCACGTACCACAGCTTGTTCAGACATTCCCCAATTGATGGGCACCTCCTCAGTTTCCAATTCTTTACTATCTTAAAAAAAGCTGCTATCAATATTTTGTGCATGTGAGTCCTTTTCCTCTTTCTTTGATCTCTTTGGGGCAAGGGCCTAGGAGAAGTGTTACTGTGTCAAAGGTTATACACAGCTGAGTAACCTTGTGGGGCATCATTCCAAATGGCTTTCCAGAATCGCTCAACCATTCACTACTCCACCAATAGTACCATTAGAAAGATTTACTGCATTTTAAAAAAGACATTTTAAATTTCACGAAGAGCATCCGTTTCATTTATTGCTTCTTTAATTTTTTGAAAAGCGATGTGAGTGCCTGTAAAGCACTTTGCCCACTTTAAATTGTTAGATAGATATTAGTTAGTATTATTTCCTATGTATTACTGGAATTTCCATCTCTATGTTCCACCTGATTGACTTGGTCTTCTCGGCTGTGTGTTAACCCTTCCTCGGTTCTTCGTGATGCAGAAGGTAGCTGGGAGATGTAGTGGAGAGAGCAGGCAGGAAGACCTGGGTTCAGATGACCCCCTGGGGTCTTTGGGCTCTGATGCTGAGTAGGAATTATTCTTCACCTTGTTTGAGTCATGGACCCCCTGGGCAGGCAGCCTGGTGAAGTCTATGGACCCTTTCTCAGAATCATGACTTTAAATGCACAAAATAAAATGCATAGAATGACGAAGGAAGTGAATTATGTCAAAATCCAATTGTCAAGCTATTTTAAAAACAAGTTTCCCGGAGCCTAGGTTAAGAACACCTGCTCTAATCTCACGATCCTTGTGACAATCCTGTGAAATAAATGCTATGGTATTGTTATTAATAATAATTAATAATTATTATTATTTAGAGATGAGGGAGCTAAAGTCAAGGGAGGTGAATTGAAATGCCCAGGGGTCACACAGCTAAAGCGTCAGAGTTGGGATTCAAACACAGGCCCTCCTGCCTCTAAATCTCGCTCTCTGGCAAACCCAAGAATGAACAATCCTCAGTTGTTTAAATTGGGGATGTGCACTAATTTGGGGACTGCCTTTCGATCAAATCAAACTACAATTAATAATTGATTTATGCCAAACCTTCATTTTCTCCCTCTATGTTCCAAAAATCCAAGTGATTTTCATTCTTCAGTAGGGAGCGAATGGGAAGAAGAATGGAATGATGTGAGTGAGTGGGAGGCTGTCTCAGCATCGTAGTTTCGGGCGTCTTGATGGTTATTTTTTCACCCCTCTTGCTAAAGGGAAAATGGCGCCTGATTTTGGGAGTGGAGAGCAAGAAAGAGGAGCAGAGGAGCAGATGAAGGAGGGAGAAGGGAGAGGTGAGGGAAGGCTACGGGACCAGCTTCATTAAACATGCATCCTCTAGTTAGGCGGCCGCTAATGAAAACCATTTAGGATAAATACACTGAGTACTTAAGAAACCTATTTATTATTTATGCTGAGAGATTTTAATCACTGTCAAAAGTCACTTGGGTTGGTGTTTATTCTAACACACACGCCCTTCACCGCTGCCAGGAAATTTTTTGTGTATGTGATGGATGAGGCAGTGTGTGAGCACCGGACGACAGTGTGAAAACCGACGTTTGGAAGGATGGTGAGGAAGGGTTTCCCACCTCCTTCAGAATTTATTTCTCACATTTCTAGAGAACATGAAGTTTTGCAAAGTGGTTTACACCCATCATTCCATTTGACCCTCCCACCAACCCTGAGCTCAAGGTGCTATTGTCATCCCCATTTTACAGGTGAGGAAACTGAGACACAGAGTATCTTGTCTGTTGTCACACAGCTAATAACCAGGCATCAGGTACTTTGCATGGGCCAGCCACAAGGGATGGGGAGGTGAACTCAGCCATCCTTCCCTTCCCCCAGGAGCTTTCAACCGCAGAATCTCAGAGTGAGTAGGGACCTCAGAGACTACCTAATCCAACCCTTGCCTGACCGAGAACTCACATTACGGCATCACTGCTAAGAGGTCAGTTAGTCAGTCAGCTAGCATTTATCAAGCATCTACTATATGCCAGGAACTGTGGTGAATGTTGGGTCCTCCAGCCTCTGCTCCATGACGTCTGGGGAAGGACAACCCCACCACCTGCCGAGGCAGCCAATTTGGCTTTGGGACACCTCTCATTGTGAGGATGCTTTACCTGAAGTTAAGCCTAAGCCCGCCTCTTAGCAACTCCCCTGTCCCCCCCACTCCCAGCATCTATTGCTTCTAATTCTACTCCCGGGGTTAGACAGAACAAATCTAATCTGTCTTCCCCATGATGGCCTTCAGATAGTTGAAGACAGCTGTCATGGTCTCTTGGAGTCTTCCTAGTTGAGACTAAACCTGCCTATGGCATCATTTTCAGTTTTCTCACCATCCTGAATAACCTCTTCTGTGCATACTTTAGCTTCTGCCTCTTAAAAATGGGTCACTTGATACTGAACAGAATACTCCATATGTGCTTTGGTTGCTACAGAGTCCCTTGGGGGGTCTTACTTACCTCCTTATATTTATACCTTTGGATTCTCTTGACACAGCCTAGGGGAATATTAACTTTTGTTGATTTTATGTCACACTGTTAACTTAAATTGAGCTTTTGGTCCACTGAGGCCCCCAGATCTTTTTCACAAGAACTGTCGTTTGGCCGTACCTCTGCCATCCAGTACTCATGAAGCTGACTTTTGGAACCTGTGTAGAACTTTGCATTTATCTCTATTAAATTCCATCTTACTCTATTTGACCCATTGTTATAAATGGTTAAATATCTTTTTGGGTATTGATTTTGGTCCTCTGGGTTTTATCTATCCTTCCAAACTCTGTGTTATCTGCAAGTTTGATCAACATGCCGTCTCTGCCGTTCATAAAGTCATTAAAAGAAATGTTCAACATCATAGGGCCAAGCACAGATCCCTGGAGCTCTCCATTAGAGCTCATTTTTCTAAGTTGATATTGACCCATTAATGACTGTGCTTAGGGATCAGCCATTTAGTCAGTTCCAAATTAACCTATTTATGCTTGTCACCTAGCCTACCTTATGCACAAGCATACTATGAAAGACTTTCAGCCAATCAATCCAAGCCTATTATGTGCCAGGCACTGTGCTAAGTGCTGGGGATACAAAAAGAGGCAAAAGACAGTCTCTACCCTCAAGGTCTAATGGGAGAGACAACATGTAAAGAAATATACATATACATGCATGCATACATACACATATATGTGTGTGTGTGTATAACTTTATTAATGCTTTATTGAAATCTGAGAATATCCATCTGACAGCATTCCTGTAATCTACTAGTCAATAAAGGAAGTGAAGGGTGTCTGAAATGTCTTGTTTTTGATTGCATAAGGGTTCAGAAACCGTCCCTTTGATTATGTATCCTAGAATTTTTTCAAGAATCAAAGTGAAGTACACTGATCTGTGGTTGGTAGATTCACCCTCTTTCGTTTCTTGACTATCAGGCAGCATTTGCCTTCTCCCATCGCTTGGCATATCTCTCGTTCTCCAAAGGTCTTCCCCAGATCACCAGTGGCGGCTCAGTAATTGTACCCACCCACTTTTTAATGCAATTACTCCTGTTTGGAGGCTTGCAGATGTGGAGGACAGCTCCAAGTTGCTTACTCATCAACTATTCTTGGTCTTTCTTCCATTCAAAGAAAATTCTTTTTGAAAAAAGACAAGAGAAGCAAAATTACAGGTGGATAGTTAGGTTCAGACTTCATTGTATTTCCTCCTCACCCTCGGAGCGGACCTATATCGTGGGGCCACTTCTTGTGGCTTTAAAAAGCCCCTCAAACCCTACTCACTAAGGATGGCACAGTTAGGTTGACATGCGCATGAATGATTGGCACAGGGGCAAAAGAGACCCTCAGAGCACAATGAGATGGCGGAGGAGGAGCACCCCAAGAATAGGAGGTCGTTGGTGTTGGTCTATGGAGGTTCTCATAGTGTTAACACTTAGGTAGGTAGAGCAAGTTTCATCGGCCTCACTTTATAGATGAGGAAGTGGACCTTTAGAGGGACTGGGTAACTTGCTCGAAATCTCATAGTTAGTGATTGAGACAGACTTTGAGCTCAGGTCTCCTGAGTAGTAGATGGTCATAGGATTTAAAGTTAAGACAGACCTCAGAGACTATCTATTACAACTCCTTCTTTTACAGATCAATCAATAAACATTTATTAAGCACCTCCTGTATGTCAGTTGTTGTTCAGTCATTTTTCAGTTATGTTTGACTCTCCGTGACCCCATTTGGGGTTTTCTTGGCAAAGATACTAGAGTTCTTTGCCTTTTCCTTCTCCAGCTCATTTTACAGATGAGGAAACTGAGGCAAACATGGTTAAGTGACTTGCCCAGGTCACACAGCTAGGGGGTGTCTAAGGCTGGATTTGAATTCAGGAAGATGAGTCTTCTTCACTCCAGGCCCTACGCTCTATCCACTGTACCTCCTACTTGCCCCACAGCACTGACACTTTTTTCAGGCACTGTGCTAAATGCTGGGGATACAAAAAGAGGCAAAAAGACAGTCCTTGCCGTCAGGGAACCTACAGTCTAATGAAAGAGCAACATGCAAACATATATCCAAATTAAGGAAATGGAAAGGAGTACTAGAGCACATTTCTCTCTCTGATGAATTCCTGACCTTTTCCCTAGGCATCTCTCCACTCTGCCACAACCTCTTTGCCCTGTACGATGAGAAGACCAAGCTGTGGTACGCCCCGAATCACTGCATCAAGATTGAAGACAAAACGTCGCTGAGGCTGCATTATCGAATGAGGTATGCAGAGTCACTGTTGTGGCCCTCTTGGTTCCAGACCTGCAGAATCACTTGATATCTGGCTTAAGTGAAGGCTGGATCGATCAATCCATCAGGCAATTGGCAAATATTCGTGAAATGCATACTCAGGGCTAGAGGGAAAAAATGAAAGTCCTTGCCCTCAGGGAGCTTATATTCTATCGGAGAAAACATGTCTACTAATAAGCGAATAGAAAACATGATTTGGTGGCAAAGATTGGTGTAGATGTGGAGATTTTGTCAGCATGGATAGGGGCGGTTTTTTAGGCTGAAAAACACTTGCTTGTTTGGCATGGGCTGAAGGGAATAGTGATTTGGGGCATGCATTTCAGAATGGCTCTAGCCCCTGGCAGCCCCTTTTCCCCTTGTAGGAAATGATCCAGAGTGTTGCTCTTGGGAGTAGAGACAAAGGGACAGATGGGAGAGATGAGGAGAAGACTAGCCTTGCCATGATGGGCCCCTGACTATACTGAGTATGGAGAACCCTTCTCCTAAAGGACTCAGACAGCAGGAAGGATGAGAAAGGTGTTGGTCTGACTGGCCCTAGCCAGACTGTGGAGTGGGAGAAATGTTGTTTTGGGGCCTCCCCTGGGGAAACCCTCCTTCTTCCCCTTCGTGCCTCCCTCATCCCTTTCCCTGAACCTAGGGCCTCCTATTGCTTCTGCTCTAGACTAAGGTCTCTGTTTATTTTCCTATTACATGAGGGGAATAAGCTTTTTATGGTCAGGATCCAGGTCTCTTACTCATCAAAAAAAAAATTTCCCAGTATCACTTCTCCCTCCTCACCCCACCCTATTGCCCCCCCCCCCCACACCTCAGAGGCTTTGTTTTGTTTGTCTTATTTAATCTGGACCTGGAAGGAACTCCTGGTATGGGGACCCTCTTCACCTCTACAGATGTGTCAGTCATCTATAACGAGTCCTGAAGGGTCTGGGGCAGCGAGGTTTGCCCCAGGTCCTGGGCTGGTTTGAATGCCAGGTCTTTCTGAATCCAGGGCCAGGCCTCTACCTGACAGCATCTGATTCAAAGGAGGTGTTACCCCACTCAATTTAACTGCCCCCTTCAGAAGGTTCTCTGCAGAGGCAAAGACAGCAAGGACAGTCCCTGCCCTCGAAATGCTGGGTCTCCTCTTCTCTGGTGGGCTGGGTGGGGCAGGGCGGGGTGGGACACCTACATGGAGAAGTCAGTACAAGTGGTCAGGAGGGCTGGAGAATGCTAACAACTGTGCCCAGGACTACAGAAGAGAGGGCTTCAGAGGGATGAAACATCTTCCAGGCATGCTGAGTAAATGAAGGAAGGAACGGTGCCCAGGCGTGCTGTCCCGCCTCCTCCACCCTCCCCCACTTCTGCCTCCTTCATCATAACCTCCCCAAGTCCGAGGCCTTACCGGCTCTTTTTAGAGAGAAAGAGGCTTGATTCTTGCTGGACTGAGAAACAGACAGTTCAAATACTAGTGGCTTAGTGTGTTTTCCCCTTTCAGGTATACCACATTTGCCTTTTAGCAAGGGGTAACTAATAAGAGGAAATGGAGGTGTTGTGGCAGGGTGGGTGGGGGTGTGTGTGTGTGGGGCATGTGTGTGTGTAGATGTGTGTAGGTATGTGTGGATGTGTATGTGTGTGGATGTTTGGGGGGGAATATGGATATTTGAGGGTGGTGTGACCCTTCTCAGTTAGGCAGAAGGCTGCTTGATTCTCCCACAATGCACTGCACTGGCTAGCCCCATACTGATTTGCTTCCCTAGGCACCTGAAAGAGGTTTGGGTTCTAAAGAGATGCCGCCCACACAAATTGTCCTGCTGGTTGATACAGAGGCCTTGGCTTCTCTGGCAATCTCTTCAGGAGTTCGGCTTGGTCAGTGGCTGACATTTATGCTTTTTCTACCTCATTTTGGTAACAGATCCTAAGACTAGCTCTGTCCCTGGTCTGAAGTGGACCAGCCCATAGAGCTATGAAGTCTGGGCATTGTCTGAGAACCTGCTGTCCTGAGTTTCCTTCTTTCTTTCTCTTCCCTCCTTTCCTAGCCTTCCTGCCCTCCCTCTTCCTGCCTCCGCTTCCTTCTTCCCCTGCCTCCCCTCTCTTCTTCTTTCCCTTTTTCCACTCCTCCCTTCCTTCTTCCCCTTTCTTCTTTCTCTTCCCTCTGTCCCCCTTCCCTCCTTCCCCCCTCCTTTTCTCTTCCTGCCTCCGCTTCCTTCTTCCCTTCCTCCCCTCCTTTCTTCTTTCCTTCTTTCTCCTCTTCTTTCCTTCCCCTTCCTTCTCTTTCTCTTCTCTCCCTGTCCCTTTCTCTTTCTTATCCTCCCTGTCTCTGTCTCCGCTCTGCTTCCTTTCCCTTCTTTCTCCCGCCTTTTGTTGAGTTCTGTTGTTTGCGCATCGCTGTGCCACACTTTCTAGGGCATACTTACTGGCTGTTGCTCCCACACGAAGCTCCATTATCTATCTCTGGACCTTTGCCCTGGCGGTCGTCCAGCCCTGGAATGCTTTCCCTCCTCTTCTCTGCCTCCGGGGATCCTTGGCTTCCTTTAGAATTCAACAGATACCTTCTTTCTTCAGGAGGCCTTTCTTGGCCTCCTCCACCCAGTAACTGGAGTCTTCTCTTGCAAGGTTACTTTGTACTTGGTGGATAAATAGCTTCTATACATGGTGTTACATATGTACATCTCTCCACAGGAGAACATAAGATGCTTGAGGGCAGAGACTACCTCACCTTTGTCTTTATAAATTCAGATACGAGCAGAATGCCTGGCACATGATAGGTGGTTAACAAATTCTTGGAAATTGATTAAAAGAGCTCATGATCTTGTCATGTCTGCAAACATTTACAAAGTGTCTACTCTGTGAGCTTGAGATGAGTTAATGTGTAAAGTGATTTGCCAACTTGAAAGTTCTGTATACGTGCTAGCTATTATTATTGTTAATGGTGTTGTTGTCATTGGGTGTGGCTGATTAAATAAGATTAGATTCCTGCCCTCATTAAGCTTCTGATCTAGTAGGAAGAGCAACCAATCAATCAGTGAGCATTTAAGTGCTGACTATGTGCTAGCTTCTGTATGTGAGGCAAAAATGGAAGTCTGCCTTAATAACTTTACATTTTATTAAGGGGTACAGCCTGCACGCACTGAGATATATTAAAATACGTACAGGATTTTTTTTTTTTGTGGGGAAACACTAACAGCTGGAGAGGGGTGAGGTAGATCAGGAAAGGCTTCATGGAGTAGGAGGTATCTGAGCTGAACTCAGAAAGTATGGCTTCCATGAGGTGTAGATGAGAAGGAAATGCATTCCAGGCTAAGTACAGAGTGGGAATTTCACATGCGAGAAAGAACAAGAAAGACAATTTGGCTGAATTGAAGAGATTGTGAAAGGGAATTATGCGTAACCTGGAAAGCTGTCGGGGCCATTTTGTGAAGGGCTTTCAATGTCAAGCAGTGGAATTCTTGAATTTGTTCTTAGAGGTAATGGGGAGCCATTGCAGTTTATTGAGCAGGGGAATGAGAGGTCAGATCTCTGTCGAAGGAAAGTTTCTTTGCCAGCTGAGTAAAGGATGGATTGGTGAGATGAGAGACTGGAGCTGGGGAGACCAGTTAGAGGCTGGAGCAATATCCAGGTGAGGGTGATGAAAGCCTGAGCTGGGGGGGGGGGCGGTGTGTGTGGCTGTGGGACTAGAGAGAAAGGGATGGATGCCAGGGCAAACTGTGGAGGTATTGTCAACAAGACTTGGTAACTGCTTGGATGTGAAGGCTGAGACTGAGGAGCTGGGGGGGGAGATAGAATGCATGCCAAATAACCCCAATATGTGGTAACATGTGCCAAGCATTTAAGAGGCGTTTAAACAGTGTGCTTTGTGAAATTGAGTAGACAAAATACAAATGTATAATGTATATTATATATGTATATGTATGCATACAAACATATATATGTATCTCTGTGAGTGTCTGTCTGTACATCTCTCTGTCTCTGTCTGTATATCTCTGTCTCTCTCTCTCCCTCCCCCTCTCTGTTTCTGTCTCTCTCTCCCTTTCTCTCCATCTCTCTCTTGTCTCTCTCTCTCTGTCTCCCTGCCCCTCTCTCTGTCTCTCTGTCTCTGTCTGTGTGTGTGTGTGTCTGTACATCTCTCTCTCTGTCTCCCTGTCTCCCTCTGTCTCTCTCTGTTTCTTCTCTCTGTCTCTCTCTCTTTCTCTCTCTTTACATCTCTCTGTCTCTCTCTATGTTTGTATATCTCTCTCCCTCCCTCTCTGTCTCTCTCTTGTCTCTCTGTCTCTGTCTCTCTGTCTCTGTCTCCATTTCTCTCTGTCTCCGTCTCCCTCTCTGTCTGTCTCTCCCTTTCTCTCCTTCTCTCTCTTGTCTCTCTCTCTCTGTCTCTCTCCCTCCCCCTCTCTCTCTCTCTCTGTCTCTGTCTCTGTATATATCTGTACATCTCTCTCTGTCTCCGTCTGTCTCTCTCTGTTTCTTCTCTCTCTCTCTTTCTCTCTCTTTACATCTCTCTCTATATATTTATGTTTGTATATCTCTCTCCTCCTCTCTCTGTCTCTCTCTTGTCTCTCTGTCTGTCTCTGTCTCCATTTCTCTCTCTCTCTGTCTCTCTGTGTGTCTGTACATCTCTCTCTGTCTCCTTCTGTCTCTCTGTTTCTTCTCTCTCTCTGTACATCTCTCTATAGATATATCTATGGTTGCATATCTCTCTCCCTCTCTCTCTGTCTCTCTCTGTCTCTCTGTCTGTCTCTGCCTATCTCTGTCTCTCTGTCTTTGTCTCTCTCCCTCCCCTTCTCTCCTCCTCTCTTCCCCTCTCTCTGGGTCTCTCTCCCTTTCTCTTCATCTCTCTCTTGTCTCTCTCTGTCTGTCTCTCTGTCTCTGTGTGTGTGTGTCTGTCTGTCTGTCTCTCCATCTATCTGTGAATCAGTTCTCCTGCTCATGCTGTTTTGTTCATCTCCCTCTGACTCATTCTTCCAAAGGGAGCTGTGTGATAAAATGGAAATGAACAGTCCGTTTAGATGCATGGGACCCGGGCTCAGACTCTGGCTCTTCCTTATTTACTCCTGATCTATTCTTGGACAACTAACTCGACCTCTCGGGTGCTGTCTCTCATCTGAGAAAAGATGGCTTGGGACTGGTTGGCCTCCCGCATCCCTTTGGGCTCTGAGTCTGTGGTCCTGTGAGTCCGGGTGGTTCTTTGACTCTTGCGTGCATTGAGAGGCTCCCAGTTCAGCCAGGGAAGCCTGCAGAGGCTTTGCTCCCAGGCGCATCCGCAGTCCCCACTGAGCTGGGCTTGACCTGAGCCTCCCGCTGTGTCTCAAAGAAAGCGCTGTGTTCCACCCAGTGCCTGATGAAAGGTTCGCTGTCCGTCACCTGACACGGTCAGGCTGTGGAAGTCCTCATCTTGTATGTTGTATAAGGGGAATCCCAGCAGACTCTGAAGCCCTGGTGCGCTTGATGCTGGGTGTGGGTGACGCTGGCATGTGGTCCTTTCTGATGTGGACGTGTGCGCACTTGTGTGTATTCGTGTTAGGGCTGTCTAGGCTAAAGGCGAATACTGTAGGGAGCCTGTGCTTTACAAAGGCCTGGAAGGATCATTTTAGATAGCGCCTTAGGAAGGGCTATGTGGAACCAGCAGAATTTTTCTGTGGCTCTGACGACACGGGTTTTTTTTAGTTCCCTCCCTGAACAAACATAAGAACACGCTGGTAAAGAGGCACTATCAGTGTAACTGAGGTGACTGACTGTAGTGTGGGCCCACTCCTATCCAGTGTTTATAAAAAATGGATTTAGGTGTCCATGAAGAATGCTTGAAAGTGGTTCATTCCTTAGCTTGAGTTGGATTCAGTTCAACAGTTTATGTCATAGTAGCTGACTCTTAGTGCTAACACTGACTTTTGGGTGATAGAAAGACAGAATCAAGGCCCATGTTACATAGAATTTAAATTGTTTAGCTGGGATGGCTCAGAGAGTAGTGGATAGAGTGCTAGAATCAGTCAGATCTAGGTTTGAATCCCACTTTAGGCATCTCTGTGCCTCAGTTTCTCCATCTATAAAATGGAGAAAATAACTGGAGTTCTTACTTCACAGGGTGATTATAAGACCCAAGTATGATCATAGGCTTTTAGATTTAGAGCTGGAAGGGACCTGAGAAGCCATCTGGATTAATCACTTCATTTTACATATGAAGAAACAGAGGCTCAAAGAAGCTGAGGCTCAGAAATGACTTGCTCAGGGTTACTCTGATAGTATCAGAAGTGGGATTTGAAGCCATATCTCTGAGTCTTCTTCCATACCATGGAAGACCATGGTCTCAAATGTCCAGGTCATTGTTAAGCAGTGGATAGAGTGCTAGTTAGGGAGTCAGGAAGACCTGAGTTCAAGTTTGGCCTCAGACCCTAGGCAAGTCACTTCACCCTGTTTGCCTCAGTTTTCTCATCTGTAAAATGAGTTGGAGAAGGAAATGGCAAACCGCTCCAGTATCTTTGCCATGGAAACCTTAAATGGGGTCATGAAGATTGGATATGATTGCCATGACTGAGCAACAATAACAAAAGACGTAGAGATTATGTCTTAGAAATGGTGTGAGAGCAGCTCATTGGGTTCTCTCTCTTTCTTCCTTCTGAGGAGTCCAGCTCATGGCTCCTGGATACCTCCAGCACTGCCATGAGGGTGATTTCTGTCAACTTTTTTCCTTTCCAGATTCTATTTCACCAACTGGCATGGGACCAATGAGAATGAGCAGTCAGTGTGGAGACACTCCCCAAAGAAGCAAAAGAATGGCTACGAAAGGAGACGGGTCCTGGATGCCACGCCCCTCCTCGATGCCAATTCACTGGAGTATCTGTTTGCTCAGGTAGGACCCGGAGCTCCCAGAGACTCTAGGGAGCCGGGGGTGGAGGGGAGTGTGTGAGAGGCGGGGCAGGAGCAGGTCATTTCTAGGAAGTTGAGTCATTGCCTGGACATGACTACGTCATTGAAGCAATATTTCTGAAAGCAAGCTGTATGTAATGGAGATTAGCTATTTTGTGTGTGTATAACCTTTTCCTGTCCTACTGAGTATATGGAAATACCCATTTTATTTGGTGTTGTTTAAATTCAGAATTTTAGAAAATTTTTGTAAGAAAGTTAATAGCCCTAGTTCTTCTCTCTGCACACATTTGTATTTGGCCCACATTGGAAGATCAATGTTGTACTCTCCAGTGTGGGGGAGTTTTCCAGGGAACCAGAGACCTTTGGGCTGGAAGAACCCTTCAGAGAACATCTGGTCAGCTGCTCTTAGCAAACCTTCAAGGGCCTGAGCCATGGAAGCTAGCCACAGACCAGAGAATTCCTTTTCATAGGATCCTATTCAGCTTAGAGCTGAAAGGGACCTCAGAACTCATCTGCACCAACCCCCTTAGTTTACAAATGGAGAAACTGAGGCCTACTCAGTTTAGTGATTTGCCCAGGGTTGCATGGGTAGTAAAGCATGACAGGTGAGCTCTATACCCAGATCTTCTGAATCTAGAGCCAGGGCTCTTAAGCTGTAGTCTGGGGACTTGGTGGTGGTGTTTTTTTAAACTCTATTTGAACGTTCTGAATATTGTTTTTATTGTATAATTTGAATATATCTGGCTATCTTGCCTCTAACAATATTGATAGCGATATTTGAACATAGTGGTTTTTTGGAATTCTGTACATTTTCTTGGATGCCTTTTACAAGTTGATTCAGGGAAGAAGACCTCGCCCGATGCTGCCCCAAGGGGCCAAGGCCCATAAACCAAAGGTTGAGAACTCCTGCTCCTGAGCCAGTGCCCTTACCATTGAACCACACCGCTTCCTGGTTTAAAAACCAAAAGGCCCACAAGAGTGCTTCATATTTCAACCAGCAGGTGCCAGACTAAGAACCCAACGGCTCAGGAGGCAGACGCATGTGCAACAAGCATTTATTAAGCGCTTACTGTGTGTCAGGCACTATGTTGAGCGCTGGGGATCCAGATCTAAGTGGCACATACAGGTTTGGTTTTGCTTCCTATAAACCCAGGGGCCCTGGTTGCTTTCATTCTCATTGGTCACTCACTGAGTACCGGAGGAAATGGTGGGTGACTGTTTGTACCGAAGGAAAACAAGAAGTTACTTTAGGTTTAAAAAAAAAAAGCTGAGTGATTATCATAGCGTAAGAAAGCTCCAGATGCATCTCCCTTTGAGGGGAAGTGGCTTGTTTATGCCAACTCCCAGGCCTTCTTCCTCATCTGTCTCCTTTCCAAGCAAGCGAAATGCTGTGGGACTACATTCACCAGAGGCCTGTGCTCAACCAAACCACTCAACTAACTTTTATTAGGCACCTGCTGTGTGCAGGGGACCGGATGAGGGTCCATGGGAGGTACAGGGAAACAGTCAACTAATCAACCAGCAAGAATTTTGAAACACCTCATAGTCTGTCCCTCCTCACCTCTGCCTCTTTAAATCCCTGACTTCTTTCAAGGTTCAGATCAAAGATCTGCCTTTTCTGGGGGAGACCTTTCTTGGTCATTCTCCTCCCCCTCCCACCCCAAAGCCGCATTGAGATAGATGCTATTACCCTTATTTTACAATTAAGGAAACTGAGGCCGACACGTGTTTAAGGTTGGTTTTGAATTCAGGTCTTCCTGACTCCAGGCCTCATGCTCTATCCATGGAGCCACCACTATACCATCTAGTTCAATGCCATCATTTTATAGGTGGGGAAACTGAGGCAGAGAAAGCTGCCCAGGGTCACACACCTAGAAAGTGGCAGAACTTCTGGGATTCAAACCCAGATCTTCTGACTCTTTCCCCTGGACTGACATTTAATGGCATTAAGCTGGTCCTGAAAGGGGAGTAGTATTTCAGCAGGTGAAAGCAACCATAGAAGGGAGGGCATTTTAAGCAATGTCATGACCAAAGTCACCAAAGTGGGAGAATATAGGTCATGTTGAAGTTGCAGTAAGTGTCCAGTTTGGTAGAGTGTAGACAAGATGAAAGGGAATCATCTGAGATGAGGCTGGGAAGGTAAGAAGGCATTAGACTATTTAGGGGCTTGACTGTCAGGTTGACAAGTGTGGCCTTGATGTGGTAGCAAGGACCTAATGAGTGACCAACCAAGATTTCTCTGGTCCCTCCTCTATGACGGGCAGGGTGATGGGTACCAATTATTAGATCATTTTGTCTTTTAACCAGACCTAGGAGAGAGAGAGAGAGCATGGTGCAGTGTCCAGGGCATCAGACTCGGAGTCAGGAACATTTGGCATCATCGGGAACTGGGTTCAGGTCCTGCTTCAGATCCAAACTAGCTGTGTGATGCTTGTAAAGCAACCCGATCTCCCTTTGCAAAGGCAGGAGAAGGAAAACAGAATTGGGTACAAGGATCAGCCAGTGGGTCAGTCTGGCCAAAGTACACGAAGGGAGGCGACATAGAACAAGACTGGACCAAGGCCCGGGGTGAAAGGTTGATTATCAGCAGACGCATTTGCCTGTGATTCTAGAGTTGGGCAGGTAGGCAGTGCTGTCTGTGCATGGAGGAGAAGAGGTGGAGTCAGGAAGACCAAAATTCAAACCCTACCTAAGATGGTTGTGTGACCCTGGGAAAAAGACTTAGCATCTCTCAGCCTCAGTTTCCTGGTATGTAAAATGGGAACAATTAGTAGCACCTGCATCACAGGGTTGTTGTGAGGATCAAATAAGACAAATTTTGTGAAGCGCTTAACTCGGTGCCTGGCACATAGTAAGTACTATAGAAATGCTGCTATCATCATCATCATCGTCATCATCATCATCACTACTACAAGAGTTAACATGTATCAAGTGCTTTGCAAACTTGAAACCAGTTCATAAATACATGATGTAGGGATTTTGTTACAGATTGCCGATGAGAGTCTGGCTGTATCAGTCCATTTGAGGGTTAACTCCTTGAAGGCTGAGGAGAAGAGTCCTAGTGGTGGACTAGCAGGGATCCATCTTTAGTTGCAGGGTTCTTACCATTTGGGGTGTCCTGGATGGCGTGGACAGTCTGGTGAAGCCCATGGACTCCTCCCCAGAACCAGTACACAGAATAAAATATATAGAATTCGAAAGGAAATGAAAAGTTAGTGAGAATAAAGATGTAATTTTTTCTCATTCAAGTTCATATACTCTCTTGTGTCCTGAAGAGTCTTTGCACCCTAGGTCAAGAATCTCTGGTATGTAGTGTTCTTACCTCCTTGACACCAGACAAGAAACTGTGTGTTTAAGGGGGATGGATAGTACTGATTTTTATTAGCTGAAAAATACTCCAGTATTTATCCCGGTGCACATATGGTAAATAAAATGTAATTGGGGGGGCGGAGCACTAGTATTGGAGTGAAATCAAGGACAGCCCCATGTAGGAGGTGACTTTTGAGCTGTACGAAGAAATACAGCTAAGGAAAACCTTAACATTTTGGACACGTCTGGAAATATACACCCTATTCTGCACCCAAAGCAATCAGCCAGTCAACATTATTAAGGTGCTAGAAGCCACCATCTATCCCTCAAGAGGAGGGGAACTTGTTAAAAAGGTTTTGTTCCTTGAGAATTTCTTAACTGAGACAGTAGTTTACCCCTCCAGACATCCTATCCTGGGAGCTGTCCTCCTCTGGGAGAACCACGTGTTGAGCAATCACCTGAACTCCCAAGAATTTATCTACTTCCTGCTTAAAAGAAACTTTTCTCTCCCCTGAAGGGACAATATGATTTAGTGAAGTGCTTGGCTCCTGTGCGAGACCCAAAGACCGATCAGGAAGTTCACGAGATTGAAAATGAATGTCTGGGGATGGCAGTGCTGGCCATATCCCATTACGCCATGATGAATAATATACAACTTCCAGACCTGCCAAAGGATGTCAGGTAAGGCTGAGCTCGTCTCCCAGGAGAGCTGATGGTGACACCTTTTTAGCATGTTAATACTATGTGTGGTGGCATGTGTGTCCCAAGAATGTTGTATGGTGGAAAATCCTTGAGCGCCAAGTTCTTTGAGGAATCTATGAGTGACCTTGGCAGTAGAGAGAAGCATTGTGGGTACACATAGGCTGTAGAGGAAACAATGGGGTGCAGGGTGAAGACTGCTGGATTTGGAGTCAGAAGACCTAGGTTCAAATCCTACTTATGCCACTTACTACTTGTGTGGCTTTGGGCAAGTGACTTTTCTGGACCTCAGTTTCCTCATCTCTAAAATGAGGAATTAGACTAGATGATCTCAGAGGTCCGTCCAGTTCTCAAAGTAAGAAGTGGCATAAGTGACATCATTAAAACAAATGGATGATCAGAAAAGAAGGGGGGCAGCCACGTGGGCAGTGACAGGTCATAGGCCTTCTGGGACGTTCCCTTTGAGACACATAATTGAAGAACGACTGCCGTGACTCTTACTGGTTGAGGAGGTGTAACGGGATGCAGCCCGAGGTGATGGTAGGAGTTCACACGTGGAGGAGAGGCAGATGCCCCCAAGTATTGACATAATCTCTTTGCAGGTTTTCAGAGGCTTAGACCAGCTGTGTCCCAGCATCCCAGAGTCAAAGAATTGAGGGGTTTTCCAGCTGGAGGGTCTCTGTAGGTCAACCCCTCTGGTCCCTCTCATCTTACTGAGTAGTAAGCTGAAGCCCAGAGACTCTAGGTTCCTAGCTCAAAGTCATACAGAAACAGAACAATTTCCCTATTCCAAATCTTTTCCCTCCCAAGCTAGTGACTTCATTTATCACCAAAGTCCAGCTGATAACAGAAATATTATGTTTATGGGAACTTTACGAATATTAAATAATTTGATCCTCACAACAACCCTGGAGGTAGGTACTGTTGTTATCCCCAGTTTACAGATGAAGAAACTGAGGCAGATGGTGGTCAAGTGACTTGCCCAGGGTCACACAGACTGTATATATCAGAGGTGAGATTTAAACCCAGACCTTCTTGATTCCAAGGCTAGGTTTCTGTCTCGTTGCATCACACTGCTTTTCATTGAATTAATATTGGGTAAAAGACTCAGCATCTCTCAGCCTCAGTTTCCTTGTATGTAAAATGACAACAATAGTAGCACCTGCCTCACAGGTCATTGTGAAGCTCAAACACCACTTTATAAAATATATTAAGATCATAGTTTTAAACAGACCTTAGAAATCTTCTCATCCAACCCCCTCATTTTACAGACAGGGCAGCTGGGGTTTGAAGAATTGGTAAAGAATTGAAGTGATATGCAGTATTATAGAGGTGACATGAAACAGAGGCAGGATTCAAACTCAGGTCTTTTGACCTCTCTATGCCCTTTCCAGGGCAAAGAGGCTTAGCTGATCACCCCACTCCAAGTGGGAAGGGGATCTGCCATAAGGTGGCTGTTTAGCGTGTTATGTGTGGGCAATCAACAAAAGGCAATGAGTCGATAAAAGGTCAGTTGATTTTGCGACTTTCCAGAGTGCCTAATGAAACATTTGGCGAGGCTTGAAAGAGCTGGCCAAGACAGGGCTTTTGGACGGATGACCCATGGGGTTCCTTTTTGGCTAGCTTTTGATGTCTGGTTGAGTTCCTGCTCTTGATAGGAGAATAGGAGTAGCCCAATGCAGATTGGATTGCTTAAATAATAACAGAATTTAATAATGCATCTGTGGGTGTATATACGAGGTTCTAAACTTCTTGGGGAATGGGCACCTAGTGACAATTTTTGCTCATATAAATATTAAATAGACACATTTTCTCACCTCTCCTCTTCCTCTTCCTCTCCCTTTCACTTTCCATCTCTCCTTCCCCCCTCCCTCTTTCTCTCTTCCCTTTTTTTTCCTTTTTCTCTTTCCATTTTCCTCTTTCAGTTACAAGCGATATATTCCAGAAACACTGAACAGGACCATCAGACAAAGGAATCTCTTAACCAGAATACGAATAAATAATGTTTTCAAGGATTTCCTTAAGGAATTTAACAATAAGACCATTTGCGACAGTAGCGTGACTCCTCATGATCTAAAGGTGAAATATCTGTCGACCTTGGAGACTCTAACCAAACATTATGGAGCCGAAATTTTTGAGACTTCGCTCTTGTTAATTTCATCTGAAAATGAAATGAATAGATTAAACTCAAAAGACTGTGGGAACGTCATACGCTATGAAGTGATGGTGACTGGAAATCTTGGAATACAGTGGAGGCAAAAACCAAATGTAAGGATGTGTGTGAATGATCAGAAGAGAAAATCTTGAATTGTGGGAGTTTGTTTAGTGGGATTTTTGTTTGTCCAAGTTCACACTTACCTTAAATCTATATTTTGTGTAAAAAAAAAAAATGGCAGACACTGGTAATCAATGCCTGTCAGCTAGCTGGTGTGTGTGTGTGTGTGTGTGTGTGTGTGTGTGTGTGTGTGTGTGTG